GAAGGAAAAGGGCAATAAATATAAATTAAAAAAAAAAACAAACAACAATGAAATGGAAAGTAACAATAACAAAATGTTGTTCTTTTGCTTGATTGTTTTGTCAATTTTAATGAGGTCATATGTTGATTAAACTGGAGTTTGGGTGTCTGAGCCCACAAGGAAAAGGAAGACGGGAAACTTTTTAAAAATCGAAATGGAAAATATCTGTTTTTTTTAATAATTTAAAAAAGAGAGATAAAGCGTATTATGGAAAATTAATATGACCAACGGAGAGCAGTACTTAGTTCCATAGATAACTTTTACATAGTTTGCGGATTGGGATGCAACAGGTGCAATGGAACCGTTGAATGTGTTAAAGGACCGCCCGATGTGAAGAACAGCAGGGCAAGATCTCAGAGGACACGACACCTTTGATGTGGTGAATGTGTAAAGCGTGATGGCCATTAGTTAACGTGAATCCAAAAACAGTTAAAACAGCTTTTTGTTTAGTTTGTTAAACGACAAAAATGATAGGGTAGAAGGGTGGAGGGAGGGGTAGGGCAGGGGAGCACGCAATGTTGAAAACACGAACGAAAACAACGTCGCGTTGGGAAACGCGAGTACATAATAATAGACAATTTAAATGGCAGCTGAATAGAAATCATAGAAAATTGAAAGCTTGGAAAACACACAGAAAATGATAATTATTCTATCTCTTGGCCATGCTGCTCAATATGCCAACATGCACGACAAGCAAAAACTGTGCAATTAATCAGCATCATCATCATTTATGGCCATGAAGGCAGCTCGAAATCAGCCCGAATGCAATTTGCACAAACAAGTGCCCAGTGGATACACTGTGAAGGAAGCAGCATCTGCAGACCAGACCAGACCAGACTGCGACTGCGACTGCGACTGGGAATGGGACTGGGAATGTAAGTTGGAATGGGAGGGGGTGGGGGCGGCGAGAAGTGGATGGTCGCTATTGAAGCACCCAACTGCTAACTAAGCCAAATTGTATGCTCAAGTGCCATAAAGCCATAAAGTAATCAAAGTTGATATCAAAGTACTAACTTATGCTCTCATGTATTCAATTAGGACAAATTTCAAATTGGGGGGGGGGCTGTCCTCGTTCATTTTGAAAGAATTAAGCACTTTTGTGGAGCGCAGCTGTTAAGAAATTACCGCAGCGGCAGCTCCAATCCCCAGCTCCAGCTCCAGCTGCAGCTCCTGGTCTGCAGGTCGTCTTTAGAACTTTCAACAACTTCCTATGCCCAAAGTTTCCACAAATTAGTTATGCAAATTATGTGAGTCGCCTCTACCTCAGCGGCGGCAGTCAACCGCCAACTACAACAACAACAACAACAACAATAAGAACAACAATAGCAACAACAACAACAACAACAATGACGCTGCCAGTTAGAAATTGGTATTTAAAACAATGAAGACTCGGTCCATCTTTCAACCAGTTTCTCGCAAATGTGGCCCTAAACTCAAAACTCAATCCTCAGCCCGATTAGGGCGCATAACAAAGCAGAATTTGTGTAAGTTCCTATTTAACATGCTTTATGCATTCCTCAATTATAAATAGATTAAAGTCCAAAATAGACTAAAGTTAAATGTTAACTTTCCGGCCGAGGCGGACACCATTCGCAAAGCAATTAACGCGCCCCAAGGAAGCAACGCCAACGGCAAGGACGCCGCCCAGAATAAATGGGTGAGGGGGGCTGACTGAGGGGGGTGGCGATGCCCGAGCAGAACTCAATTTAACTGACTGCCAACTTTCACAATCACTGCCCATCATCAATTTCAGATTTTGCTGTATGTTTTATGTAGCAGCCGAAGCAGAGGACCGCCCCTCAGCCAGGCCATACTCAATCCGCCACTACATTCAGTCAGTCACTCATTCAGTCAGTCAGTCAGTCAGTCACTCAGCCAGTCAGTCAGTCAGTGAGATGGGGAAAAAAGTGAAAACAATGCTGAAACGGCCAACTCGCAAAAGGTTGGCAATGGTTGCCCAGGGATGCGACCAAGAGTGTGTGCTGATCTGTGTGTCTTGGTGTGTGTTTACTTAAGCGTAAGCCTCGCTCCGCCCCTCGGACCACCACCTCGCAGCAGTAAGCCTTAACCACACAACAATGGCAGCCAGATAAAACAGCGAACGGGCAAAAAAGGGTTTTGCTGTCCTGCTGCCCCGTTTGCCTGGCTGCGTCTTAAAGGATTGCTCAAGTTTTCGGTAACCAATATGTAAATGTGCGTGCTGTGATTAAGCACAATAGACCTGATCAAACCTTACCAACGAGCCAGACGCTGGGACGGACAAAGCAACAGACTGACAGACAAACAGACTGACAGACGGACAGTCAAGACTTTGCTTAACCTAAACCTAAACCGAAACCTAAACCGAGTCCTAAACCGAATCCTAAACCGAAATCTAACCACAATTTGAAGCGCACAAAATGTGAAACCAAAACAAACTAAAAAACGCAGCCAAGTCAATGGCTGGACAAGGCCAACTTTACACACCTCAAGTGTTTGTTTAGGTTGCCAAAGTCCGTCGGCTTGGGCCAACGAAGGGGCGTGGTTGGGGGCTGGGGACGTGACCATTTGCTGTCTTGTTGTTTGCGGCCAGCGGCAACATAAATCTTGTCTTTCCAAACAAAGGCATCGCACCAGAGTTAGCGATACGCCACCTCGGAACGGTAACCCGCCGATAGATGGCGCTAAAGACAATACCGGGCCCGTCTGGAATGCCCGAAACTATTAGCGAAGAGCCTTCGCATTCGCCTTCGCCTCGCAATCACCTTCTCAGCGCCTTGCAAAATGTGTGTGTGTGTGTGTGGATTTTTAAGGGGCACGCACATAAATTGCAACCGCCAGGTGAGCAATGGTGCCACACAACGTGCCCCGCTACCCCGTGGCCCGACTTGATGTATCACACAAACAGACACAAATGTATTTATGCTGCTGCTTAGTTTGGGTGCCCCAAGACTTGCTTCTTATGGGCATCAGCCGCGTTCCGGTCGTAATAAAAACTAAAATCCGCACAACAATATGTGCGAGGATAATGCCATTTCCGTTTTATGTGAAATCCTCTCAGTAGTCCGTGTCCGCATATCCGCATACCCCTCGCCCTCCCAGCACCCTCGGCGCGCTCACATGTGCGGCTTCAGCTCGAAGGTGTGCCTCGATCTCAGCCCAGCCAGTAGGCTACACGGCGCCAAAAAAGGAGTGCGGTCGAAAACTTTTTCCGTTACGGCACTTTCGGAATGCGGATAACCAAATGGATGGGGCGGCTTTTATGGATTGGCACGCCCATTCGGGCCACGCATATGATACACCATTGAATAACCTTGAGTGCATGCAGATAAGCAAAAACTTTTAATGCCGTGCATCAAAATACGGGGAAGGGAAGCGCTCGATCCTGGAGCGTATCAGCTTCGTAAAAGCATGCAATTGTGCTTATGAAACTTTTATTGCCAGTATTATTCTAATCATTATTATTATTATTAACATTATTTTTGTTATTAATAATTCTGGAGCGCATTAGCTTCGTAAAAGCATATAGATACGCTTAGATATGCTTAAGAAACTTTACTTAAAAATAGTATTATAATTATTATAAATATTATTATTATTATTATAATTATTGTTATCATTATCATTATCATTATCGTTATCATTATTTTTGTGTAATTGAGCTCACAAAACTTGAATTAATTACTTGAATTAAAAACTATAAAAAAAATATAAATAAAACATATTTAATTGAAATTTATATTTTCTTATTCTAATTTAAATTTCTTTGATAAAATTTTAAATTTATTGCTCATTAGAGGATAAATAGATAGCTTATATATATGACAATTTTTATTTTATTGTAGTTAAATAATAAATATATTTGCATTACCAAATATCATATATTTATAAACAGAAATCCTTAAAATAAAGTACACACAAAGTATGATTTAGAAAGAATAAGCATAAGTAATGTGGAAATTATAAATTAAGATCGCCCTTAAACCATTTGATTGATATCATTGCAATATATAAGCAAAGCATAAATTCGAGAACAGACTTTAAGATGTTAAGTTTCCAGGTGACCTATGCAAAATTGTATTTTTTTCTGTGTGTCTTACATTTTTTAAAGGATTATGTGACAGCTTTTGCCTTGTCTTATGGCTTATGAAGGCCATTCATTAGCTACATTTTCAGATTATGCTGCAATCAACAAAATGCTTGCCATGTGGCTAGCTGGAGCTACTCTGCCCGAACCGAATGTAAATGTAAATGTGGCACACTTTTTGCTCAGTGTGCGAGCGACAAGATGAAACAAACGTGCAACTTTGGCCAAGGCGCTGCAAGTGGTAAAAAGCGCAACCAGAGTGAGAGAGAGAGAGAGAGAGGGAGAGAGAGAAAGATGACAGAAATGTAGAAAAACAGAAACGGAAGAAAAACCATAACTAAATCCATTGCCATAGCCAAATCCAAGGCAAAGTCTGCGATGCAAATAGTAGAGATTATGGCTCTGCCGCTGCTCCAGTTGAATAAGAACAAGCCAAAGGCAACACGGGTGTCGGATGGGCTTCAAGTCGCTGCTCGGGCAGCGCTAGAGGTGCATAACTATGTACGTGTGCATGTGTGTGTGTATGTGTGGCTATATGTGGCACAATAAATCTTACAAGGGTGCCGAATGGCAGGGTAGGGCAGGGTGTCGAAGCCATTGGAGCTGCCACCCAAATGCTGAAATGGGATTGCGAACGGGCGCCGCCAGTGAAAACCAAAACCAAATAAAACTGACATTATGCGAAAAGCGAAAGCCATAACTAAAAGTTGGGCTAACGTGGCATGATGGAGCGCCAGTAAAGTTGATACCGGCGCAAAGGGAAAAAACAAAAAAAAAACAATAGCAAAATAGAAAAGATAGCAAAGATATCTAGGTGGGCTGAGTTGGGGGGCGGCGGCGACAAGTGTAGTAAAAGGCGCTATGCGGGCAAACGGAAATCGACTTTAGCCCTTACCTGTGTGTGCTGCACGTTGAACTTGCTGCAAGTTATGCAAATGTCCTCCAATCCTGCTGCTGCTGCTGCTGCTATCAATCGAAAACAGCGACGTTGACGTTGTGGCGTGTGCTAATGACATTTGCTTTGATTGCGACCAGAACTCCAAACTGTCATTTTCATGAGCTGAGCGGGTTTTCCTCTTTGTTGCTGTTGTTGTCGTTGTTGTCGTTGTTGTTGGTGTGGCTGCTGCTGTTCCGTCTATTTATTTAATTTGCATGCAATTTTCAATTTTTATGCGAAATACTTTGAATTGACAGCAAACGACGCACACACTTGGCCCATGCACAATAGAAATTGAATTGCAAAATTTGTTTGCCAGTCAATCGCTGGAGTCGACGGCGCAGCTGATAGAGTTCTAGAGGAGCGCCACAGACAGCAACAGCAAAGTGCGCCACGTTCATGCCAATGTCACAGCCACGGCCTGAAGAAATCGCACAATTTGGCGGCGAAAATGTCAAGTATTTAGAATGCCACGACGACGACGACGACGACTGTCACTACAATGGGCGGCGGCAACAACAACAATGATGCCGGCAAATATGCACACACACTTACATACACTCACACACACACACACACTGCGAGTCAAGCCAAAACACACACTGAAAGTGAGTGAGTCAGTCGCAAAGCTTGGGGTTGCCGCAAGTTGCACTGGAAGTCAGTAAAATCGGAGGCGCGAAATTGCGCGACACAAAAGACGCCACACGTTGCCGCTGGCTTCAACTGGATGCTGGCGCTGGAGCCGGCTTGCCTCTGTTCCGTTGATGCGACCGACTGCAACGACGAACGCTCCAAAACTGAAACACAACTCAACTCGAAAGCCAACAAAAAGGATGCTGAACAAATCGCACAGATGCGATGCGATGCGATGCGATGCTGTTGCCGACGAGTACAACAAACCCGAAGCCATTGCCGAGGCTAACGATGCTGCTGCTGCGGGCCATAAGAGAGTGGCAGAGCGACAAAAGAGAGAGAGAGAGAGCAAGAGATTAAAGGGAAGAGCGAGCGAGCTGCGATTGGGATGCTGCTGCTCAGAGAGTGAAGGCAGCTACAAAGTTGGCGACGGCAGCGACTAACGTGCGACTTCGTTAAATTTCTGCGGCGACAGCACACAAAACGGATTCGGAAGCGGAAGTAGCAAGTAAGCGAGCGGGAAGCGGGAAGCGGGCAGAGGGTGGCGGGTAGCGGCGGGCGCTCTGCCGGAGCTGGAGCTGGTGATTGCAATCAGAAGTAGGCGAAGTAACGCGAAGTGGCTGCCTCTAGTCGAGTGGCAATCGCTGGCGACGCACGCGAAGAAACATGTTTTCTTTTTTTGCTTCTTTCTTATTTTTTTGTTGATGTGGGCATTGGTTGGCAACTACTCGTACGTACTTTTTGGTTTCTGCGGTGTGTGTAGAGGGGGTAGGGAGGGGGGGGGGGCGGTGCAAGTGAGTGTGCGAGGGGGTTGGCATCAATATTCACATTCGCACTTGTGCGAGTATTTTCTGATTTGCTGCAATCGCATTGCCAACAATCTATACAACAACAACAACAAGAGCAACAAGGACACATAGAGCAAATTTTCTAACGGATGTTTAGCAAATCTTTTTGCGCCGGATACTAACGGTGTCTTTGGCACAGCGATAGACGGCTACAAACGCAGACATACGACGCATACGTGTGCTCACAGCAGCATGCAGCTGTGCAGGTGTGTGTGTTTGTGTGTGTGTGTGTGTGTATCGATAACTAATAATGGCATTACATTTATGTTGCCCGCACAGACGACCCGCACCCCGCCCTGGCTGCACAACGTTTGGCTCGTTAGTCCTTTGGCCGCAGCGGTGCACAATATTTCAGTTTTTAGTTTTTAGTTTTCAGTTCTCCATTGCTCCATTTCTCCGTGTCTCCGCTTAGCAGTTGTTATTTTTGTTTTGTCTGTTTTTGTTAGTTTCTGCAATTGCAGTTGTCCTTTGCCCACACACACACACACACACTTTCACACACCCACCCATACAGGCAACAGCAACTAATTAGAAACACTTGCCATACGCTGCAGTTGCTCTAGCCAATGTTTTTGTGCGGCTCGCTCTGTATTTGTGTGTGTGTGTGTGAGCTATGAGTGTGCGGCTTAAACTGGAATGGGAGATTGGCAATTGCTTAGTTGATTTTCATTGACTGCCCTTTGGCTGTGTGGACAGATATTGTAGTTGTTCGTTGTCATTAATTGGCTGTTGGTTGTTGCCTGTTATTGTTGTTGTTGTTATTGTTCTTGTCAGTTCCTTTTGCTGACAGCTCTAAGCGATCTCACCATGGATAGCGCTACTTTTAAGCTAATGGAACTGGGCTGCATCCTGCTAACTACTTTGTGCTTAAATCAACCTTTGCTTGAAATTAATTAACCCTTTTAAATGCCAGATATTATTATTATTATTATTTTATTAAATTTGTACCCTTCATTAAATTAGTTTACAGCTGAGTTGGTCAGCTTGGTTTCTTGATAAAAATAATGGAGCTACTTCATTTCCTCGCTTCAGTAGCAACTCATAATCAGCTTCCGCCTTGAAAATTTCAAAGGCAATCGCTGACTTAACAGTGTCCGGTCTCTGTTGCCGTCAGGCTGATATCTTATTCACAAATATTAAAGTTCTTCAATCGAGAATACTTCCGGTTTTTCAACCGCATATTGCAGTTTTTGCCCCATGGTGCATCAACAACAACGTGCCAGCCCGAGTCGAGTGGACCAAAACAAGCATAAGCACGGACATTGCCACAACCACAGCAACAGCCACAGCCACATACACAAGCACAGACAAACAGGACATTGAATTTGTTTTGGGTTTTGATTTTTCGATTTAAAATTGTTCGTTTCAATGGCCTGGCCAGCTGGTAACCGGTCCTCTGGTCGCCTGGCCGCCTGGCCGCCTGGCCGCCTGGTCGAGTGGTCGAGTGGTCTGTTGGCGGGTCGATTGGGTTTCAAGTTGAGGTGTCGCTATCGCATTTGTTTAGAAACAGCATTGCCGGCTGCACACGACTCTCCCATTGACATCATCTTTCAGGGGAGGGCTCTCCGAGCTATATAGGCTACTCAATAAAGTAATTAAGTGCTATGGCTACACACACACTCACACACACACGGAGAGAGAGATGCAAACTTTGCTTATAAACCAATCTATGAATTTGAGTATGTTGCCAATATTTACTGTGTCAAATTGGGGGAATTGATTCAATTTTCCGAAGGAGTTTTAAATATATGTAATTAAAGAAATTAAATTATATTTGATTCTTTTATAAACGAAGCAAACTTTCTAGTTTTTATTTGCATATTCAATTTCGTAAATAATTTAACTGTCGCCCTTTCAATTAACAACTTTAACTGAGCAAAACAATGCGATTCTAGTCAAGCAATTGAGAAATTCAACCACAAATTGATCCCACAGTGCAGAAGTAATTGAACTCTTCTTCTCTCTCTCTGTTGAGCTAATGAAATGGATTACTCGTATTTATTTGAATTGTATTCGGAATCACAGCTTTTAATTAACTAATTGATATGTCTCTTTAACAATACCGATTCTGTCTGCGGTCTGCTGCTAATAACTTCTATTTGTTTTTATTTAGTAAATATCTCAGGTAAAGGCACAGAACTTGTGAGTAATTTAATAAATCAGCATAATTAATACTTTCGGTAGCCTGACGCCCGAAACAAGTAAACCAATTATGAATGTGTAAACCAATTATACATTTTGATTGTAAACTGAATTTGAAAAGAAAGGAAACCTGAAATTATAAATTAGTGCCCAATGCCTAAGACACATTTATTAAGCTAAGAATATTTTAAATATTTTTGCAAATTTTCAATATTTGTGCACTTATTGCGATCGAAAAAATTTGAATTACTTATATTTTATTTTAATACTTTCTTTGTAAAAATTAACTAACAAATAACGAGAAAGAAGGGTTATCTTCGGCATGCCGAAGATTTAATACCCATCTTTTTCATACTGCTCATAATGCTTTATCTTAAACTTATCTCAGAAGCACAGAGAAAATAGTTAATGCGGTTAAGAAATCTTGAAAAACAAAAAGGTTTCCATGCAAGAACGTCATTTGTAACCGATCATTCCTATGGCAGATATAGTGATCCGATGTAAACAAGATTTTGCATAAATGTACGAAGCATAGTGAAACTTATAAATGCCGAGTTTGGTCAAGATATCTTGAGAAAAAAAAAGGTTTCCATACAACAACTTAATTTTCGACCGATCGTTCCTATGGCAGCTATATGATATAGTGGTCAGATCTAGCCGGTTGCGACATATGTACTGCGTGTAATAGAAAGAGGGAATTCTGCAAAGTTTCATCACGATAGCTTTAAAACTGAGAGGTCAGTTCGTATAGAAACAGACAGATAATTTGAAAAATTCCTCCCACATATCGCTGAAAATGGTGCATATGAAACTTTAACGCTTACCATCCGATCGTCCTTAAAATCATTTTGAAATCTATTTGTTTAAATTCATTTCAGAGGTGATTCATAGTTTTCAGAAAACCCATCTCATTTTGGTGGAAATGGAAAATTTGTTGGAATGACTTTTGAGCTCAAACTCATTCCAAAAAACAAACAAACTAATTTATCTTCGATTATTTTTCTACTTCTGAAAATTATTCTATTTATTTATTTATTATTTTCTTTTAGAGTGAAAAACGCGGGCAGAGGCCATCTTTCAACTTTTCTAACTGATTTCAAATATCTATTATATAAAATATAAATTGCATGTGGACTTCAAGTACGAAAAGATTTAAATTTGCCATAAGCGGAATATGGGTGGAAAATGTATGTCTACAGTTTGAGACAGAAAAACTTGATCCGGGAAATACCAGCTAGTATTTTATAACATAAATTTTTTATATATTTTAAAAAAGTCATGTACATTCGGTTATTTGTTAATTTTTAAAAAAAAATCAATTATATTTCGGAACTATATCTTTTTCCTGCTAAATCCTTTTGTGACCTCTCGTGTCTTAGCGAAAAGGATTGTCGTGACATATTAAATAAAATTCTTCAATATTTATAGCGCAGTAGGCAAGTTACCAATATATAAAAAAAAAATAAAGTAAATAATAATTTGAGCAGAAACGTACGAAAATGAAAATGCTGTCCAGTTGTTCAGCTGTCTTGAGTTGACGACTAAACAACTTTATAAATAAGGAAAGGAAAAATAAAAACTGCAATGAGACAAGCTCCTGGAATAGCATTGCATTGACAGGTCCCATAATTGTAAACGACGTTGCCATTGCGCCCCCCCCCCCCCCTCCCCTCGACCGCCCGTTAAGTTGTTGCCGCAGTCTTTGGCATTAAGTCGGGAGGCTGTGGTCGGGGCCGCGACTTAAATAAAAACGAGCTGCGCGTGGCAAATGGAAGAGAAATGTTTCAAGTTGCAGTTGTCGCAGCTCTTGCAGCAGCAGCTGCAGCTGCGGCAGTTGTCGAAGCAGCTGATGTTGTTGTCCTGTGTTTTTGTTGTTTACGCTCGTTGCACTCGTCATCGCTGGCGTTGGCGGCATCCTTTGAGCAGGCGCTTTGACTGCCACTAACAACGCTTACTTCATGTTGTTATTGTTGTTGTTGCTGTCGCTTTTGCCATAGCTGGTCGCGCTCTTTAGCGCTGTGCGTTGCTGTAAAAAAAACAAAGTTTCCATTACTGGCCGCCTCTGGCTTTGCTTTTGCCATAGTTGCTGTTATTGTTGCTGTTTGTTGTTGCATATCCGAGACCATTTTCAGCATTATGGGTATAAGGCACACACACA